CTGGAGCCACTGGCACTGGCTCCACCAGACATGGGGAAGCTTCTAGCAGTTCTCACAGAAGCCACTGCTGTAACCTCCCCACTGCCAAAACCTGACACAAATCCACTACACTTTCCCCCCTGGAAAAAGCTGTACTTCAATTTCCTGAACTACACACTAGTTCCAAGTCTATTTTGCCTGGATGTTCCATGGAAGTTCCCACTACAGGATGCTACAGCCCAAGATCTCTCAAAGCCAATGGGCCAGACAGAGAGAATCACACCTCCTGGATGGAGAATCAACACTATACACCAGTCATTTTGAGGGCTGTAAAGAGACAGGAGATCCTTTCAAGTATTTTAAAAAATGCTGAAGAGCTAGCATGGGTTACCTGTAAATCACTTTGGCTTTTCTCCTCTATCTCAATCAGCAAATAACCTCAGACAAACTTCTTTTGCTTAAATATCTTCACATAACCATCATTTATTCTTCAGGACATTCAGTTTCAGTAAAAGGAAAAATTTACAGTGAGCTGAGTGGATGCACAATTAAATTGCAATAATCTGGATATGGCTAAAAATAGTAGATATAGGATGTCAAACAAAATTATCAAAGATTGTTAAATACTCTGATTTAATGTGCCCACACACACTCTCCACAGTGTTCTGTACACAAAACATAAGCAGTTGTTTGACAAGACTGCCTTTGTTTTATTTCTAAGTGAAATCACTCTTGTCAGAGTAATATTTTTATGGAGCAGTGACACTCCAGGTGTTCCTAACCAGCACAACTATAACTTGATGCAAAGCTCACAGCTCTGAACAGATTCCAACTCTCAGCTTATCTACCTGCTGAGGAAATAATCTGTAGTTTTATCATGCTGGGCTGTTCTTACTTAGCTCTCACTCACAGAAAGAAACTAAGGGAATTCCCAAAATGCTTAAGAGGTGCTGCATGTCAACAGTCATAAAATAAATTCCTAACACCTTTCCACTTTTTTTTTCTTCCTTTATATTTTCTCACAACCCTCCCACCCCCCACCAAATACTTTGGTGCAGTAATCCTAAACTCTTCCTTTTAAGAGGCTTGTATAATAGAAACAGCAGCCTAAGAAAATAAAGTACTGTGGGGATTTGGTTCTCCTGAAGAAGTAGCTCCATGAACTGCAAGTGTTCACTTATTCTTCCACATACTAAAAAGGAGACTCAGTGATGCTACCAGCCAAACAGGTATCAATTCTAATTCTTTGGCTGAGAGGCTTAACCTGTTCACACACTGCTGCTTATCCCAACACTCTCTATGGAGACAATACACAAGAGTAAACATGTTGGAAAAGGCTGATACATGAAAGTTAGCAAAGGAGAGGAAAATTCATTATGAAGTCACCTTGACATAGATAGATGGCATTTTTAGTTTCAAAAAACCCAAACACATAAAAAGCCACATCACTTATCAACTATTTCTATCAATTTAATCTCCTTTACTGTTAGAAAACATATCAGGCATAAGGGCCTTAAAGTTCTTAACAATTAAAAATATCAATACTAATGAATCCTAATCATCACAACTGCTGAAGCAGAACTGCAGAGAAATGGTACTCTTGTTTTCAGTGCATGAACAAACCCCTGGTTTACCCTATTGTTTGTATTCAAAGAAAGTTATTAGATCAACTTTCACATTTCCTTTGCTGGGCAATGTGGAAGGGCAACAGTGAGCAGGATGAGATCAAGAAAGAGAAAGAAAGAGAGCCCACTTGGTTAGTTTTGCTAAGAACAGAATTGTGGTGATCAGAATTGCCCTTCATGCCAGATCAACACTAGGCTTCCTATTGAGGTGTAATTTTTGGAACAAAATCAGATTTCAGCTGTATCCAGATATTTGTTTCTTTCATTTGGTTGTAAAAACCCAAAACCCAGAAACATATGACCCAGAACATTTGCAGCAACACTGTAAACAGGCTCAAATTAAGAAACCCCAGAACACACTGTGAGAAACAAGAGGAAACTAGAAACAATCATTTTCAGAAATTAAACTCTTGCTTTTTATCTATCCCAATTATTTTTCTCATGTTTATACACATCCTCACTTGTACTCTCCTATTTAGAGTTTACATTTACATGTTCCTGTACAAAAATGTGATTTGGTTCACACCAATTCTGCCACAGAGCTAACAAAAATACCTAGAAAATCTCAGTTGTTCCGCCCATGTGCCAACTATACAGTTTTATAACACTTTAATACCATTAGCACCAATACTACTACCATAATATGTAGCATTGTAAAAATTACTAAGTAATCAAATATTTCAGGAACTCGTAAGCAAACAGCTATCAATTACCATCTTTATCTACTACAATGTTTCATCTTTTTCCTTCACACAATATTTCATTATTTATCCATAGAATCAGTAAAGCCTTTGATAAATTATTAGATGTATTTGTTTTGTGCTCCACATTCCTCTTGCCACCCTCATCATGTCAGAGTGAGGTTATCCATTCTCTGTGGCTGAAGGTAAAATAATTCAGTATGATTAATGCTATCACTAACAAGAATTTGTTTTCTTGAAATAGCACATTCAGAAGAGCAGTTCAGATAAGGCCAGGATAGAGTTTTATATCTATATTACAAACTATCCCTGGTTTTCTTGTCAGCTCCTCCACCTTTGAGAAAGCATCGAGTGCATGTCCCAGCACTGCCAAGATCAGCCACAACAGATGGTTGCTTTCAACTGAATCCCACAATTGTAAAATGTGTGAACACTTTTTTAAGAGATGCCAGAACCTGAGAGGAAGAGCTTGATACCTGTTTCATATATAACCATTTCACAGCTAGTTTTTTCCTTCTTTTCCCTGCTGAGCTCTGCTTCCTGTGCAGAGGCCTATTCAGCAGATCTGTCAGAGACATACCCAGGACTCCGTATTCGGACAGGGAGCTGTTGCACACGGTGTAGGGAGCCTGCTGCTCCCAGAGGTGATTCATGGGAACACACGTTCTCTTGTCAACTTCTTGATCGTGAAGGACGTGATGACGATGGCTGCAAATAGTGGAAAGAAATCTATTAGCTAAGAATCACTTTGGGCTTTAACAGAGCTACTTTCAAAGGTAAAGCATCAAAGCCACATTCTGGAAAGAACACAATCAACACAGTTATCTTTGCTACACACAACACCCTGCTTTGGTTGAAATCATGTGAAATACAATCATATGGCTAAACAACATTGCTGGTCTACAGGAACTTTCACTGACCATCCAGGCTTGTTCTCAAGTACTCACAGGAACTGAAAATACCTCATCACTAGAAGAACGGGGAGGGGGAAAAGGGAAAAGGACAGGCAGGGTGCTGCTATAAAACAGAATGATTACAGAAATGCAGAAGAATACAATTGTAATTCAAAGCATTTCATTCTGCCTCCCTCAAAAATTCTAAAAATCTTTTCCTTAAAGCAACTGTTGTCTTCTATGCAAAGAAAATTAATCTAATCTCAGCACGAAGACTTGAAGGAGTTGTATCTTCTTTCCTGCTATTTTCATTCACATGCACCATTTAGAGTTCTCTAGAACACCATTAATCAGCATTAGAATGGGGCACTGAGGAATACTACCAAAACAGAGATGACTGAAGTAATTACTGTAATCCATTAACTCTCTGAGCAGACTAACTGAGTGAATCACAGCAATATGTCCAGCTCTACAACTGCTAACATAAGGACAGTTATTGTACTGGTAACAGTACTGTGTGTTGTATAGCTGCCAACACTGAAGTCTGAATCTTTTTGTACCTCCCTTTGCTATAATGAATGCCAGCGAAAGAGCTGTGAAATTTATTTAGAAGTCAACAATGTAAGGCCAGAAAACGACAGAAACTTTGAAGAACAGCACAGGGAGGGAAGTAGATAGAAAGGGGAAAATTCACACACCAGACAGCTGTTTGGCAGAAATCATTTTTGCCACTGTCATTTGGTTTTTGTCATTCAGTCAAAGATAGAAGGCCTAGCTACATGATAAGCTTCTTGAGCACACAAGTTTGTGTTTCCCTAGCAAAAGGTGATTAAGAAGAGCATAGCTGGACAGCCAGAAATATACAGACATACAAGCCACTTGTGTGCAATTGTCAGGTTTATTGACATCAAACCGGTAGAGAATCAAGTCTCTCTCTCCCCATTTGATTTCCCATCTCCAGAGTGTGTCTCCAAGATGAGAAGTGGCCTGGTGCTTCTATCTGCAGCTTTATCTACCTTCTATCTATTGGTAATGTTGAGGACTGAAATAGGAAGAAAGCAAGCTGTCACACTGAATACTGACAGAAAGGACTATTTTCTAGACTGATTTGAGATATTATGTACTTCCAGGACTTTGGGGGGTGAAGAAGAAGAAGACTTTCTACAAAGACAGCATAAAATGACATCTACTTTCTATGTGTCTGCAATGTGGTTTTTGCCAATAAAAACGCACAAGCATTTGTAAATATCTTCAGTTCCCAGGGAACCCACTCACCTTTATAATCAATGACAAAGAAACTCAATTACAGCTGAAAAAAGAGCAGCTTTACTGAAAACTGCAGTATCTCTCAGATGTGCTTGTACCACAAGTTAACTTCTCTACCTATTCCTCTGATGAAGTGAGCCTGAATACAGTAAAAGTCTTATGTATTTCTACATTGTTCTCTTCTATTTAATAGAGTAGTTGAATATTCTCTGACTTCCTCAGGTCCAAGGTGCTTTTATCATCTCACCCTTTATTGTCCAGCTGCCCTATCACATTCAGAACAAAAATGCCTAATCACACCACTGGCTAGTATTCTGTGGATCCCACTACCCATCAGGCAAACTCAAAGCCCAGCAGCAAAGCAGAACCAGGTTACAATAAATCAAACATCTCCAGTACCAGCTTCAGTCCTGAACTTCACAAAAATTTATTGGAATGCTTTTTTAGTCCTTTTCTAAAAGATTGAATAATAAAGTCCAGATGGCACAAGAATCCTTAGCTAGACATCAGCCATCTGAATAACTTTGTATTTGACCATGTTTCATAATTCTTTTCCCTTTATTTCTGGGAGCATAACAATTCTTTTAATCTTAAACACACAAAAAAAACCCTGGAAAATCATTCTGGAAAATCCTCTTCCACTAGTGAAAGAACTGGGAATACTGAGAATCAGTGTTCTCAAGACAAGTTTAAGGGTATGCTATGTATGACTAAGCACTCACCTGAAACAGGCAGGTAAGTTGCTAAATCAATGGGCACATAAGTTCCTCTTCCAGGAGGTGCTCACTTTACAAGACCACAATACTGAAATCAAGGAGGATGAGAAATCAGAGAGGGGGGGAAATCTCCTGATTTTCAGTTTTGTTTTCAGGTCTTGTCCAAAGGATTTTGTTAAACTGCTATTAGAATGGAAGAAACAGGAAGAAAGCCCAGAAGACTGGATACCAAATGAAGCTCAGCACAGAAACAGAGTATTGTACCAAAGAAGACGGACACCAAGATTTATTTCTCTTTTCTGCAAGCATTCACAATGAAGCACAGTGCAGCTGCTAGCTCATTCACCCTAGGAATTGGCATCACTTCAAAGGCTTCAATTGAATACATCATTAACATTTTACTCCAGAGATTCAGGTAAGGCAGGAACTATATATATTTTCCCAAGTGATCAGATTCTGCGTTCATTCATTCTCTATAGACATTAAAAGTCTCAGTACAAAGGACCTTATTTCACTTCTAAAAGCTTTCCCTAGCTGACAACATATTTGTTCACATGACACCCAAGTTCCAAGCAGCCATCACTGGAATGGTATTTAAAAGACTCAATCTGCTGCAGAAGACACCCTTCTCTTAATTCTCAGCAATTGGATAGAATGCAGCTGCATTTTTTGTTAAAAGGCAGGGAGAAAAATATATAATTTCTGTTTTTCAGCAAGAGAAGGAAGAAAATATCTTAAAATATTTGTTCTGCTTTAAATACTAATTTTTAAAATGCTGTTTACAAAGACACAGGAGATTTGATTAATTTTGACTGCCAGAATCTAAAACTTTCAGATTAATGCTGAATAGTCCCAACTTCCCCTTCCCTGCAGAAGTCCATATTGTTTAAAAAATGCTCAGGTGTTTCTCCAGGCAAGGGACCATATTTCATAGTTCTCTCAGTACTCACCTGAAAGTGCCCCTCTCCACATCCTGTCCACTGAGTCGGACGTGGATCCCTTCTTTCAGAACAGAGCCAAAAGCCATGTATTCTGCCAAGGCCCAGTCAACAACCCTGTTCTTGGTCATTTCCAAGCGGGCTCTCAAAATCCGAGAGAGTCCTACATTGCAATAAAGAGCAGAAATGAATGGATCTACTTCAGAGAAATTTTATGTTCACATTACATTCATCATTCTCCTTCCTTACTGGCTAAGTTAAACACAGGTTCTAATAGGGTCTACAAATTGTTTTTCTAGAACTGAACTGCTAACAAAGTGAAACAATTTGTTTCCCAGGCAAAGGGTTGCATAATGTTCATGCCTTGTTTTTGAAGAAGAAAGTAAGATTGGCTGTGTCATAAACTACTGAGGACAATTAAAAAGAATCATGATGAAATACTTCTTCCTGAAGATTTATTTATTTTCACATCTCTAACACAAAATACTGTTTTGTAAGAGACTGAAAATACCAGCAATTGGCTTTGTGATTTTTTCTTCACTCCTTTTCTCATTTTTTCTTGCCACTTGTCTTATTGGACTTCTGGAGATGTTATAAAGTGAAACAGGCTGGAGTGATCAATACTATGAATATCATATAAATAGAAAATTGCAGCAGCTGCCAATGGATTTTCAGTTGGCAACCAATAGCTTTTTTTTTTCAGTTAAGATTTTATAACCTCATAAGGCAAAATACAAGTTACAAGTGACTTTTAAAGGGAAAAAACTTCACCAATGCACACAGTTCCTTCCAATTTTGAGGCTATGAGTATTCACTGTCACTTGACACATTTTCACATCTGCCCTGATGCCTTAGGTAAGCTGCCCCATTTGTTATTTACCCATATTTCCCTTTGCCACTTTCCACAATTTTACAAAAACAAAACAAAACCAAAACAACAAAAGTCAAACAAACAAACAAATAACCCACCCCACTTTATTTCTACATAGAACTATTCTGTCATTGAAATTGCTGTATTTTAAGTGCATAAAAAAATCTTGAAAAATTTCTCTTCAGAACACTAAACATTTCATAAAATAATCTTCCCATTGTTTGTTGAAAGACTGCATGATATTAGGCTGTTTCATTCTAGTGGAAGGACAAAGTACTTGGGACGTGCTCTTCCCCTTCTATTTCGCCCCAAATTCTCTCTTATGGCCTTTTAAACTGCATAAAAGAATCTAGCAGCCCAAAGCTTGTTTTGAACCATAAATCTACCTTATGTGCTGGCAAGTGTTCCCTAGTGTCAATGGTTAATCAGCTTACTAATGAGAGACCAACTTATCTTTTTAATTAGCATAGCAAATACTAAATTTTATTGGGTGACTGTAATTTCTAATTTATCAGTGTCACAAAAAGAGTGCACAAATGCATAGAAGAGTTTTAAAGTTTATCCATTAATTGTATCTGCTTAACAAGCCTGCAACTGAAAACTGGGAATGCCCTATCATCATTACTTCTAAGTGTTTAATTGTCCCAGAGGAACACGAACACACAGAACATCTCCAGCAGACACACTTTATTCCTTGATGGATGACTCTAGAGAAGAAAGATTAGCTAGAGATTTTATACAGAAAAATGCTCTCTATCCTGATCCTAAATTCATACCCTACAAGCCAACAGAAGAAAAAAGATCCCTAAACAAAGAGTCTCCATGTTTGCCCATGGAATAACCATGTCATTGCTCCCTGTGGCTGATAGATTTCAACCTGACCAGGAATTAAAAATATCTCTGAACTTTGGCACACTTCTTGCTGTAATAGATGCCATTGTCAGAACTGAATCTTTTCAGAACAAAAGCTAAGACTTCTTGAAAACAATGTTAGATTCATGCTGTCATCCGTGTTAAACGGTAAGTTGAAAGAAAAACTGTCAGAATTTGCCCACACAGCATCCATTCAGCTGTATGAAAATTCAGCTCATAGCACAGAAGCAATGTTGCCAGGTCTGAAAAGTCCAAGCTGTATTTCTGAATGGAAAGTTAACTACAAGAAAAGTCTCTTAAGTGGACCTCAAGTTACCACTGGTTTTAGCATTAACAAACCTTACATTCACATGAGTGAACAGCAAGTTCCACAAATGTGCTGCACAGAGGCAGCGTGTTCCACAAGGACTTGAAGAATGAAAGGAGGTATTAACTGAACGTTACAAAGAGACTTTTACTTCCCTCAAAGGAAGATCTGTTTTAATGAGGTATGGAACAGAAATAACGTGATACTGACAGAACATTATGCCGAGAACAAACAGCAGGACCTTAACTTAACTGTCACATTTTCCTTGCCCACAGAATGGAAGAATTAAAACAAAAAACAGTCACGTGAATTTTCCTTTTTGGGAAATGGCCCAACAACAAATTCTGTGCAGAAATACAGAAACAGAGCAAGAAATGCAGCCACTAGGTGATGCAAAGACTCCAGCTGACCTGAGTGTATTTTGAAGTCTTCGACTGGCACTGAACTAGCGACATTGCCGATGTGAGTCAGCAGGTCCTCTGAAATGCCAGTCGAAGGACACGACATGCTCTTGGGTTCTCCATCCATGTTAAAGAAACCTGGAAGTAAAAGATTTGATAAGATATTCAAGGGCTGTTTAAGAGACATCTATATTATCTACAATTTATTTAAAAACTCACAACTCTTAAATGACATTCTAAGCAGCAGACCAGACCTAGTTCTTCACCTTTCACTGGGAAACACAATAATTCTGATTGTCTGCATGATGACAGAATTTGATCTTAGTCACCCAAAGATCTGTTTTGTTTCTGCTTTCATGCCCTGTGAAGTCCAACTACGTAGGCAGAGGCAGACAACAAAAGGCATATGGCACCTCAATCCCTCAAAATAAAAATAAATTTAAAAAAAAATTTCAAAAGAAAGAGCATGAGACATACTCCTTCTTGACAGCACAGACAGACAACAATACAGGAAAACCACTTCTCTGCTATCCTGGAGAGACATGTTTTTCAAAGTCACACCTTACTTTGCATGTTTTTTAAAAGCATTTATTTCAAGTTGATGTGGCAGAATGCTGTATTTACTGTTAACAAGGACAAATCACAGTTCATATATTCCATTTTAGAGGAACACTGATAAAATCTATTTAAATCCTAGATTATGGACTCAAAATGAAAGCACAGATAAAAACAGGATAAGGGAAAGGACATTTCTTACCAGGCCAAGGTGAATCAAGCCAGTGCTTGATGTGAAGGATCTTATTATCCTTAGATCTAGTATATGCTTCTTCACATATTCTATCATATTTTGCAATTTCCTCCTGTAGAACAAAAACTTTTTTTTTAAAACAGATAAACATATCACCCTTATATCTTACTATCTTACAAATAACACTTACCATTCAGCAGAATAAAGCCTGTGATTTTTTTTTAACAGTCATATTTCTAAGATCAGGACCATCCAGCTCTCATACCCCTGGCTACAGAAGGCAGAAAAGACTGTAAAAGAACTTCCTAGAAAACTAGCCTGTCAGAGAGTCTAGCTAAGTATCTGCTGGCCACACCTGTCAATGGCAATAGATACAGTGCCATATTCTGGAGAGGCAGAATGCCTCTGCAATATCTATGTTTCAATCCAGAACCATGCACAACTTACTGAGTTAGCTAATCCTTAAAGTAATTAACAGCAGTGTGGAACTCAGTCTGTACAGCAAAACATTCATCCAGGATCCTGGATCCAGTCAACAAAGCCCATCCCACTACTGTCACACTCTTACAATGATTCAGGAAAGCTACTTCTGCATGAGCTGCAATCATTCTTGTAGATAATGGAATGTACCTACACAAACTGCCTTTTACTTGATCTGCAGTATGTCTCTACATAGTTAGCAACACCTTCTCAGAAGGTCCTTTGTTGCATCTGCACTCTACATACTCATTTTCAAAAAGATCTAGTTAAAAACCTAACCAGTTTAATACAGGCACCAGACTCGACACTTCACCCTTCTGGAATACTTCAAATGATCTCTGATCTTAGTTGAATTCTTGTGAGAAAATAAAATTGATTCTGTTGCATCATTGCTGGACACAAGCCTGCCAAGATTATCAATATGAAGATACAATTATACCTATGAGTGTTCAAATACTGTCTTGCTGCTGAATCAATGTTCTCAAGATGAGGAACAGCTGACAAATGCCTCTATTTTCCAACATTCTCATCTGAATGCCTTTTACAAAACTCAGAACTGAAGCAATTTTTTCCCTGTGCAATATATATTCATTACTTCACAGCACTTTCAGTCTTTTTGTTACAACAATACTATTTTACATGAGAATCCAAACCAAATTGAAACATAAATTGTCAAAGGGTGAAGACTTCTCACAGTAATGAAAGGAAGGTTTTCAAGCAGTCAGCATACAGTGACAGTTGTGTCTTTCTACAGACAGCTCCTCAGGTTCCCTTTGACTCTGTTGATGTGTACCTCAAACTCCTGCAGTGTCACAGTCCCATCTGCAATCAGTTTGTCAGCATACTTCTTCAGCACTGGCACCTGCTTATGGATCTGCTTGTACATCAGAGGCTGGGTGAACATTGGTTCATCCATTTCATTGTGCCCTCTCCGACGGTAACAAACCTACAAAGGGAAAGATTGTTTCTGTTGGCAAGGAAAAATGTCAAAAGAAATTTTTTTCATATTTTTATAGAGATTTTAAGCGGTTTATGGTATAAGAAACATTTATGGCTTCTTGTGGGCCTGTTAGTTGTTTGGTTTTTTAAAATGAGGAAAATAAAGGCCATTAAAATAAAATATGTTACTTGACTAGACCTTCGAAGCCACAGGAAAATAGGAGAGTAGTACATCAATCACAGAATGAAAAGTTAAGAAAACCAAGGCTTACCAAGTCAACCACCACATCTTTATTGAACGTGTTTCGCCACTCTGCAGCTACACTGCACACATACATCACTGCCTCAGGGTCATCAGCATTCACATGAAAAATGGGAGCATTGACCACACGAGCAACATCAGTAGGATATGGTGATGAACGAGCCATGCGAGGGTCTGTGGTGAAGCCAATCTAAAAATTCCAGAAACATCTATTAAAATAATTTGAGCACCTCTCTCTACTCCATTTTGAATGTTTGAGGTTTGCATTTAATAGTCACTTACACAGGAGTAGCATCAGCTTTTCAGTTTGGCTAGCTAGCTTCTTTCTGCTCCCTTAAATACTAACCAAAGCAAACCTAATCCAATCAAATAGAATGAAATACATGTAGGTGATAAAATACTATTCACTCAGAGTTGCTAGAAACTATGATAATTTTCAGAAACATCCCAACCATTCTAAAAGACAGAGAGGACAATGCACCCAGTTAATAACAGACAAGAATAAAAAAAAAAATACAGGAGCGACTATTCAGCAGACAAATTGATTGGAAAATCCTCTATATGTTACCTGGTTGTTAACCACAACATGAATGGTTCCATTTGTGGTGTAGGAAGGGAGGTCACTTAGGTGAAATGTCTCATAAACCACTCCTTGTCCTGCAAAGGCAGCATCCCCATGTAATAATATGGACATAACCTAAGAGGGAGAATTACACACACATACCCACATATACATTAGAAAGCAAAACTGCAATTTAAACTTCTCAGCAGGATTTCTTTATCCCACATTTCTGTAGTGTTTATAAGATAGAACACTATTTTTATAATAAACCATAAATTTCTCAGCATTCTTCTGCCTTTGTTCAGTTTGCAAATGAAAGAAATCTTTAAGCCTACTTCCTGAAGTTACCCTTTAGGTACCATGTCAGAAACCTCATCCAGTTCAACAGGTGATATATTCCTTTTGTGAAGGAGGAAGGGGGAAATTTTATGACACAAAATTCTGGTACACTATTTTTATTAACAATAATATGAAAAACTACCACAAAAAGTCACTATATTAAACAATCTTTACCTTTTTCCCTGCCGTGTCCCCTCGATAAAACTGCTCAGCTTTTGTTTTCCCTTGCACAACAGGATCAACTGCTTCCAAGTGAGAAGGGTTAGCCATCAGGGACAGAGTGATTTTCTTGTTTGTTGCTCGGTTGATCCTCTCATGGTACATTCCCAGATGATATTTTACATCTCCAGATCCCTAACGTGCAAGATGTAATCACGATTCAGGAATGTCATTCATATCTGCTGCATCTGATTCACTATGCCTGAAATTTATGCCTCAGTCTGAAAAATGCACCTAGTTAAATGTACATCAGTATACAATATGGGCTTGATGCCACAATTTCCAATTGGAACACTGTTTCTATTTTACTACTGTCGCCATTCAATGTTGGATAAATACTTACAGAATATTGGTACTCGTTTCATTTACATAAAATGAAGATGCTCAGAGAGTATGAACTCAGTCTAATGGAACTTACTTATCAACAGTTATTCCTGAGATGCCTTCTGCATATTAGAGGTACAACATAATTAAATTTGTTAAGAAATTTCTCTGAATCATGTTCCTCACACTAGAAAAGAATAATGAATTTCAGCAGCTAATAATGTGATTTTCACAATAATCATGAGCAAAACATTTGAAAACTACTTTGAATGTTGACCTCTCTATACAGATCTATTAAAAAAGCATCTTACCTCATCAGCTGCTTCAAGTTTGGGATCAAACTGACAGAAGATCTGCTCCAGCTCTTTTCGGATTACATTAGCCAAAACATTCAGCCTACCCCTATGAAAATCCCAAACACAGTTGTCTCAAAAATGGTAGTAACAGAGTCAATAATATAAAATTTACAAAATCTCAAAACCACTGTCAGAAATTTGCAAAAGTTCACTTCAAACATTTGAACCTCAACCCTTTCATTCAGCCCTTCGTCCCGTTGCAAAGTTCCTCCAAAGCCTTCCCTCAGACATTTTGTAACACCTAGGTCACCAAGTGAATTTTATAGGTTTCTAGCAGTCTTTATATCATCACATTAATAATTAGTTAAGGCAGACTGCAAAAGTAAGTTCACTACTCTCTCGCCAAGCTTTCCCAGTTCCAGGCTCTATGCAATGGCAGAGATGCCATGGCTGCTGCCACATTTGCTTGCAGCATCAAACTACACTCAGGAGAGTATCGTTACCATCTACCTGTGAATCCTGTAGCCTCTCACTGACAGGCACTTGTTACAGTCCTGTGTTCCCATTACTTGCTCTGGCTGACTCTGCTACCTCAGCTTCTCTTTGTTAATCAAATTCTAGAACCCAAAACCTGTCTGAAGACAATAAGCCCATTTATTGGGGTGTTTCCATTGACATTACCTATGAGGCATCCCCATTATAACATATTCAATTCCCATTTCACTGGATTTATCAATGATGGTCTTAAGTGCAGGAATCATCACTTCACATCCTTCCAAACCAAATCTCTTTTCAGAAGACCACTTGCGAGCAAGGAAGTCTTCAAATCTTTGCAGAAAAGAAACACAAAAAAACATGAGAGGGTGTTTTTATTAAGAAAATGTAGCAAATACTTATTGTCAACATCTAGGAAATAAAATTACATTAGACTGTTTTGAAATGTCTGTGAATACAAGTTTTTAGGCTTCTGGAATTAAGTCACACGTAGGGAGAGAGACAAAGGAGAGCATTAAGTCTTCCTTCTCCTCCATCTAAGAAGTATTTACTAGGACTTTGAAACAATTAAGAGTCTCCACCTCAGGCAAAACTGACAGACAAAATCAAGTTAAACCCCGTTATCATGTACACAAATACTGATCTGTGGGAAGGCAGAATGACACCAAAGAATCTAGTCTATTCTATGGATTAAAGAAAACATAAAAGAAAACCTATATTTTCTGGGAGTAATAATTAAATACTTATAAAGAAACAAAGTAGAAACCATGTCTATTCCATAGGTCTCATTCAAGGGCAGGGCTCCTCAGACTATGTGATGCAATGGTTGGGAACATGCCAGGAACTAGAACACTGGTATCTCTGCCTGAGCTTCAGCAGCAGAATTATGTCAATCTCTGACAGCTCTATGTTCTTTCATTCTTTAATGCATTTGGGCCAGAGGCAATGTGAGTGGTTAAAAAGTACCTTTTAACAAATGCTGAAAGGATTATATGTTGTAAAGCTTGGAGATACAAAAGGCAAAGATAATACATCTTCATGAAAGTAACTGTATTGGTTACATCATCTGTGCAATGCCTTGACTCATAACACTGCTGTAATCCATTAATACTCAGCTTATTCTCACTGGGAATGCTGACATTTACCTCTTTAGATTGAAGTCCTAAAGGCAGTGAAATGAATTGTTGCCAAAAGACTCTCCTTAGCTCACCCACCAGTACCATTACAATTCAGCCATCTAAGCAGCAAGCCAGACCCTCAGCTGAGCTATTCTGTCAGAACTCCTCAGGAAAGTCTGTGGGGCTGTGCCAGTTTATAGAAACTAAGATTGGGGTCCCACGTGAACAGCAAGTCCTACAGGGAGAATCAAAGCAGTGTACATGCTGTTTTCCTCCTCTTTGCAGAGGCAAGTGAAGCCAGTATTGGACAAGCAGAAAGTTCATCATTTGAGGCAAACTGCCACTATGTGTGCAAACCTACAGCACTTCACAGTTACATTTTGCAAGGCCCCTACATGCCACTATGAGTGCTCAAAGGCTGGCAGCTCATCCACTGTCACTGCATGCATTCAGTAGCCAGGGAGGAACAAGCCTTAGGAAAGCTGGTTGCTCTCAGAAGAGATAATCTAGACATGCTTGACCTGGCACAGGCTTAGGAAAACGCCCAGATCAAACTCCACACAAGGGTCTAATATGTTTACTAATCCATACACAAACTAGCTCAAAAAACATACAATGAGTATTTTACATAAGGAGGAGTTAAGAATGAACTTTTGTTCAATAACCTCTCAGTGAAAACCACTAAGGATGAGAAATCCAACTTTAAAATTCACTTTCAAGTACCTGAACTCTGTAATACTTAGAATGAGCATTTTTGAAAACTCTGTTCTTGAGCAAAACAATGAAAATCTGCTTTACAAAGCCACAAATCTCCAGAACACATCCAGGTTTCCCCCAAAACCAGGGGTTTTTTTCCTAGATCATTTTCAAACCATGAAATAAAAAGCATACTAGAGACAGCTGGATAGGAATTTTTGTAAAATATTTTTGCTCTCAATTTCAGCAGACAATTAGTTTGGCAGAAGATTAACATTTGGCTCCTTCATGCTACTAGAAACCCCTGATCTTTCCACAGCTTAGGCAGTAATAAAAGCACAAATTCCTGTTTTAAGGTAAATAGAGATGATTCATAGTGAGGGCTTGTTAAACCAATGTACTCAAGTGTAATATTCACTTGACCATTAAGTGACATTTTTATTTCTATTTAAATGAGACTTTTAACCAGACACATAATCTTCCTGCAATATTGGCAAAAAAAACACCTGGCAAAAATACCCTTTGACACCTTCAATGACCTCTTCATTTTTATGTCTTTGAACACAGAAGCTTAACCAAAAAATGGACCTTTAAAAAAATATAACTTCTATTTATCAGGGGACATACAAACTTTTAGATTATAAAAACTGGAATAAATCAGGGACATACAAACTGTTTTAGATTATAAAAACTGGAATAAATCTTTGTCTGAAAAGTCTTGTTCTAGGCGTAAGAGGGTAATTAGTCTCTGGGATCACAGTGTTTCCATATAGATAGCCACAATCAGAACAATCAATAAGCTGTTTCCAAATGTGCTTTCTTATATAGCAGAGACTAAAACTGCTTTTGCCAGGTCATGCAACAGTACATGACATATGCATAGAATCAACCAGGTTGGAAAAGACCTCAAAGATCTTCAAGTTCAACCCTACCGTGGTTACTAGACCATGGCACATCTAGTGCCACATCTAATCTCATCTTGAAAACCTCCAGGGATGGTGAATCCACCACCTCCCCAGGCAGCGCATTCCAATGCCTGATC